CATATTATCTGTCAAACTCCGGTAAATGCAGCGTTACACCGTTGCTTGGTCCTGGAGGACAGAGGTTGACAGGAGTGAACCAAACAATGAGAGAAATGGGGTTACGCCCTAACCGAACATGTCTGTGCTCACTGACAGCCATTGCGTCTTGCTCTGATTATGGTTGCAGGAGGCTCACGCCTTTGCTAAATTAATGTATGACAGTGGGTTGAAGGCCCTTAAGTGATATTTACCCTAGTTATTGGGAGTGTATGGTGGGAAACTGAGTCACGGGTCCATCCAATTTAAGCCTAATCAGTTTTGGCTTCATTTCATACCATTTCAGACAGAATTAGTATCTCTTGTAGTCTCTGGAAATAATTTGCTGCCTCACAAGTCATCACAGACAAGAGGGAAAATAGATAGAAACTCTGTGCATCCGTCTGTCTGTGAGTATGTTTGTTCAACAACTCCCTGCCCTGATCCAGGCCCCCCCCACCTCCTGCCCCAAAATCAAACACCCCCACCCTGAACCCCCATCTTCTGCACTGGGGATGGGGAGGGGCCCCGTGGGCAGGGGGCTCGGAGTGAGGGCTCCTGGGGTCTGTGCCCAGCCCTGGCAGGGCAGTGGGGTGTAATGGTCAGAGTAGGTGGGGCTGGGAGTCCAAGATCCTGCGGTCTCATCACGGCTCTGAGACAAGAGCGGGGCCCAGAGACTGAGCCTCAGGGACCTGCAGCCATGAGCCCTGGGGGTGTCCTTGCCCCTGCCCCGACTCTGTGTGTTGTGTTGCCTGGGACAGATCATCCCTCCCGCCAGACAAACAAGAGTCACAGAACGTACCACAGCCAGTGAATCCCACGGGGACTGTCACCTAGAAACACACATGGGGGCACGGATGATGATGGAGCAAGTCCCTATGAAGTGACTGACCTGGGGAACGTTGTTTGGTTGCAGTTCCAGGCGGGGCTGCTCTTCACGTGGGAACTAGGCAAGACACGTCCACTGAGGACTTGGTCCCAGAGGCCCGGGAGTGAGATAAAACCCCTGCTCCCTTCCGCAAGTCCAGCGCCTGCCGAGAGCAGAGGGAACTGCTCCTCCTAGGCTCCGCACGAGCAACTTCAGCCCTGGAAAACTCTCTCTTGGAAGCCACTCAGTGCTGTGCCCAGGGTTTGCAACTGGAGCACAGTCATGTCATAAAAATATAACATAAGAACAGCCGTACTGGGTCAGACCATCTAGCCCAGTATCCTGTCTGCCGACAGTGGCCAGCACCAGGTGCCCCAGAGAGGGTGGACCGAAGTCAACGATCAATCGATTTGTCTCCTGCCATCCCTCTCCAGCCTCTGACAAACAGAGGCCAGGGACACCATTTCTATCCCCTGGCTAATAGCCTTTTATGGACCTAACCTCCATGAAATTATCTAGCTTCTCTTTAAACTCTGTTCTAGTCCTAGCCTTCACAGCCTCCTCTGTATGCGCTGTGTGAAGAAGAACTTTCTTTTATTCGTTTTAAACCTGCTCCCCATTAACTTCATTTGGTGTCCTCTAGTTCTTCTATTATGGGAACGAATAAATAACTTTTCTTTATTTGCCCTCTCCACACCACTCATGATTTTATAGCCCTCTATCATATCCCCCCTCAGTCTCCTCTTTTCTAAACTGAAAAGTCCCAGTCACTTTAACCTCTCTTCATATGGGACCTGTTCCAAACCCGAATCATTTTAGTTGCCCTTTTCTGTCCTCTTTCCAAGGCCAAAATATCTTTTTTGAGGTGAGGAGACCACATCCATACACAGTATTCATTGATGTGGGTGTATCATAGTTTTATACAGGGATAATAAGATATTCTGTGTCTTATTTTCTATCCCTTTCTTAATAATTCCTAACATCCTATTTGCCTTTTTGACCACCGCTGACCGTCACTGGTTTTTTCATTTCAATTTTCCAGACTTGCAAAGAGAAACTTGGTGTGTGCCTGAGCAGATGAGGTGTCTATCTATCTATCTATCTATCTATCTATCTATCTATCTATCTATCTATCTATCTATCTATCTATCTATCTATCTATCTATCTATCTATCTATCTATCTATCTATCTATCTATCTATCTATCTTCTATCAGGGTTGCCAACTGTCAGGAAATGTATGAACAGTCTGTAAAAAATTAACCAAAATTGGACATGTCTGTAAATCCATACAAAAGTGTTGGTGTCCGTAAATTTCGTAAAAGTCAAATAAAAATTGAAAAAAACAGCAATTATTCTATAGCAATTAAATGTCTTCTGTCCTGCTTCGGCCATTTTACTGTGGAGCAGCAGAAATTGGATGTTTTAGTTGTTTTAATAAGAGAGTCCATCCCTGGGATCTGACCATAGGAAATGCCCTGCACCTGGTGCCCGACAGTTACGTGTGGGTCTCTTCTAGCTGTGTTCCTCTCTTCCCTCTCTCCACAGAACGTGTGTTTATTTAGCCACTTCCATGTTCTTCTGCATGTCAATGGTGAGTCCAGATGCCGTGTCGAGCACTGAAGACGTTGCTGTACCGCCACCCAAAAGCATCTCTTGAGACTTTCTTGCTAATGGTGAGTGCAATGGCTCCATTGGTAGAGAACCTGTCTGAATGTCAGGCAAAAATTCAAAAATCAATCAAAATTGCTTTGGTGCGTTGATTTCATGGGCACTGATGTTCTCCATGAGAAAACATGGAAGTCAACGGCAGCGTTCAATTTTCCATTTGATTTTGTATGAACTCTTCTGAGACACAATTCAAACTTTCACTATTTGAATGTTCTGTGTTCCTTCTGGGTGAAAAAAACTGTTGGGACACTGGGATATGCCATGAGACAGAAACACCATCTCCCAGCCAGCCCAGCTTCCCCTGCACTGGGTGCACTGAGGAAAGTGCTTGCAAATATAAGTGTAGGTTCCGTAAGGTTGCTCTTCAGAGAAGCAGAATTCCCACCTCTCCTCCAGGTCTCCAGATTTAGAGAATATTATACACCGGTGTTTTCAAGTGTTCTGTGCAGTGCACTTTGCAACACCAGTGTTTGCTTTTCTTGTCAGATTGATCTTGCTCTCTGTGATTGGCTTTGAGTCTGGGGTGTCCACTCTCAAATGTGCTTTTGCACAAGTAAATCAGCAGTAAAACGGCAGAACAGAGGTCTTTGGCTGGTGTAGGTAAACCTCCTTCTATGAAGCATAACTCTTTTTTGTGCTACAGCTATTGTGCAAAAAGGCAAGTGTGGATTCTCCTAGTGGAAAAAGAGAGCTTTCTTGCACAAGAGAGTCTATGCAGTGTGGACGCTCTCTTGTGCAAAAGCATATCACTTTTGCGATGTGCTTTGAGGTGTGGATGTGCTCTTGTGCAAGAAGTTTTTGCACAAAAACTATTGCGCAAAAGGTTTCTTGCACAAGAAGCCGGCAGTATAGACGTAGCATGGGTGTGTGCATTTCTGCTCCACTCCTTGGAGAGATGGAGAGAGAAAGAGAGATTTTTGAGAGGAATGGTCGTGCGAATTGCAAGTATCAGGAGAACTCAATCCTCATGTCTGGAAATGTGGACTCAGTGTGCAAACCTAGTCTCTGCTCTCCGTCATTCCCAGCTTCCCTCATATTACGTGGCGGTTATTTGACGCGTGGGCTTGAGAGATGGATTTTGAAATTGCCACAAATGTGCAAAATAAAATATTGGATATGTCTCATTTTAATTTCAACTCTGATAGAATCACTGTTTCTGGGATAGGGGTAGGTGAGAGATTGGAATTTTTCCTCTTTTGAGATATTCCATTGGGTGAATGTGCCAGTATATTACATTCCCAAGAGGGGAGAAAGGAAAAGGGAAAAAAAGGAAAACGGGTAACAGTAGGAATAAATGGTAAGCTTTCCGAGTGGAGCGAGGTAGCTAGTGGGGTCCCCCCAGGGTCTGTCCTGGGACCCATCCTATTCAACTTATTTATAAAAGATCTAGAGAAAGGGGTAAACAGTGAGGTGGCAAAATTTGCAGATGATACCAAACTGCTCAAGATAGTTAAGACTAAAGCAGACTATGAAGAGCTTCAGAAAATTCTCACCAAATTAAGTGATTGGGCAACAAAATGGAAATGAAATTGAATGTGGATAAATGTAAAATAATGCACATTGACAAATATAATCTTAACTATACTTACAATATTATGAGAACTAATTTAACTACATCTACTCAAGAGAGTCATTGTGGATAGTTCTCTGACAACATCCATTTTGTGTGCAGCAGCAGTCAAAAAAAGCAAAGGGAATGTTAGGAAAAAAGGGATAAAGACTAAAACAGAGAATATCGTATTGCCTCTCTCTAAAACCATGGTACACCCACATCTTGAATACCGCGTACCGATGTGGTCGCCTCATCTCAAAAAAAGATATACTGGCATTGGGAAAGGTTCAAAGAAGGGCAAAAAAATGATGAGAGGTTTGGAGCAGCTGCCATGTGAAGAGAGGTTATAAAGGGTTGGACTTTTCAGCTTAGAAAAGAGGAGACTAAGGGGGATATGATAGAGGTCTGTAAAATCATGAATGGTGTGGAAAGTGTGAATAAGGAAAAATTACTTATTTGTTCCCATAATGTAAGAATTAGGGGTCACCCAATTAAATTAATAGCTAGCAGGTTAAAAACAAACAAAAGGAAGTTCTTCTTCGCACAGCACACAGTCAACCTGTGGAACTCCTTGCCTGAGGATGCAGTGAAGGCGAGGACTTTAACAGGGTAAAGAAAAGAGCTAGATACAGTTATGGAGGATTGATCCATCAAAGACTATTAGACAGAATGGACAGGGATGCTGTCCCTAGCCTCTGTTTGTCAGAGGCTGGAAAAGGATGAGAGGGGAGGGATCACTTGATGGTTCCCTCTTCTGTTCTCTCCGTCTGGGGCATCTGGCACTGGCCACTTTTGGCAGACAGGATCCTGGGCTAGATGGACCTGCGGTCTGACCTCGTATGGCCATTCTTACGCTCTTATGGAAGAAGGCAGGGAGGGAGAAAAAGAAAAGACCCTCTTGGCTGTTCAAGTAGACGAAAACGATTAGAACCCCGATACTGGATGCTTGTGTGCGCTGTGGTAAAGTTCTGGCTGTGCCCCAATGGGCTTGTGCTACTGGCAGATAATATTAGCCTCAGAGACTTGCTGTGGTCCTATACACAACCCCTTTCTCTTTAAGGAGGCAGGGTATAGAGCTCAGTGAGCCACACTCATCCCAGGCTAGTCCATAAGGTTGGGGAGAAACCTCCCTGATAGTCCTGCTCTCCCTTCTTGGGACAGGCTCTGTGTTGGTGGAGGAAGGTTTGGGGGGACCCCGGTCCCACCCAATACTCTGGGTTCCAGCCCTGAGCCCCTAAAGTAGTAGCAGCAATCAAGGCTGTTTTTCCTTCCAACTTGGCAGCTTTTCCCCTGGGCCACTTCCCCAAACAACACCCACCCTCAGAAAATGTCTCCCTCTGTTAACCAGCTCTCAGCTCACACAAAACCTCCTCTTCTTCCTCCCTTTCTCCTTCCGGCCCCTCACTCTATGTCTTCCCCCTTCTTTGCCGGAGGGAGCCTTTTTAAAGCAGCACCGAAGACCTCAATTGGCTGTAGGTGTGGAGTGACTTAACTGAGGGAGCAATCTAGTTAATTAGCCCCAGGTGTTTTCCTGCCTTCATGTTATTGCAGCAGGCTCCAGTAGTGATCACTGTGGGAAGAGAAAACCACTTATCCAGTGCCCTATGTACCTGCCCTCCACCAGACTGTGGCATTGCTCTCTGCAACCAGGTCCTTGGGGGCCACCGTGGGGGCAGACCTCCTCGCAGAGCCCCTGCTACATAATCCCCATCTACGTGTACAGTCCCCCTCGGTGCGCCAGAGGTTGGTGCTGGCAGAAGTCACCAAGATCGGAGACCTCCTGGACTCCTGGGAGACTGGGTGGATCCTCCGGCATTCACCCAGTGCAGGGGCCTCTCCACCCTACGTACTCCCTGGCTCGTACTTCAGGAGGTGAAGGACGCTTTGCTGCCCAGGGCTTGGGTTTATCTCAACAGGGTCCTATGAGAGGGTGCACCTCACCCACCCCTCAGCCCCTCTCGATCTCTTAATTGGCCCCCATGCCTGTGTACCTTCCCGACCGTCTCCCCCATCTCATCCCAGCTGGCTGCATGCCTTGCAGCCGGTCCCCTTCCAAACCATGTCGAAGAGTCACCTGTACATGCTCGTGCTTCACACACTGGACTTCCCCACCCTTGTGTCCCACCCAGACACCAAATGGCGGGACCTCCTACCACCAATAGAGGGTGGGGAGCTCAGCCCTCTTGTTGAGGTTCTGGCTGCACTTCTCCCCTCAACTGTTAATTTACACACACCCCATCCATAGCCCCACAAAGTAGCGGGACCTCCCGGTCACCAAACAGGACACCAAACAGGACCAGACTGTGGCAGGCTGCTGGTTATGTCTGCCACAGCCCCCATTGCTCAGGCGAACAGATGTAGCTCCTTTAGCATCAGTTTATCTGACCCCCATCTGTTGTAAATCAGCTGATTGGTGTCCAATGGGTCATCTCTCCAGCTGACCTACACTAGCGTGGTGCGAATGGCATCCAAACTGTGACAGCAGCTTATACCTGACGGTGACTGGGCCCGGCTACATGTCTCTGTACAGAATTGCAACAGGTTTTAGCAAGGAATTGTGGGAGCCACATCCCCATGTTTGGTATTTACTAGATTCAGTTCCAGAGTCTCTTTGTCACCCCTGCAGATGACCTATTCCGAGAGAAACCGTGGCGAGAACCAGACCATCTCCGGTAGTTTCATCCTGGTGGGGTTTTCCTACCTTCACCAGCTGCAAATCCTTCTGTTTCTGCTACTCCTTGTTATCTACCTCCTCACCTTGATGGGGAACCTGGTTGTTATCCTCCTGACAATGCTGAACTCCACCCTCCATACCCCCATGTATTTCTTCCTGGCCAACCTGTCCTTCCTGGACATCATCTTCACCACCAGTGTGGTCCCTCAGCTGCTGGTTCACCTTCTGGTTGAGGAAAAGACCATCTCCCTTGAGGGATGTATGGCCCAGATGTACATCTACACCATCATGGGCTTCACGGAATGCTGCCTCCTCGCAGCCATGTCCTATGACCGCTACGTGGCCATCTGTCATCCCTTGCACTACACGACCATCATGAGTGGAAGGGTATGTGCACAGCTCGCGGGTGCATCATGGATCATTTGTATCTCAGTGGCCGTAGCTCATACAAAATGGCTCTTCAGCCTGCCCTTGTGTGGCTCCCACCACATGCACCACTTCTTCTGCGACATCGCACCAGTGATGAAGATGGTGTGCACCGACACAACAAACATTAGGATTGTAGGGTTCATTTTGACAGGGCTGTTTATCATGAGCCCTTTCCTCTTGATAATCCTGTCCTATGTCTACATTATCTCCACGATCCTCAAGCTGCCGTCCGCGGAGGGGAAGCGTAAAGCCTTCTCCACCTGCTCCTCCCACCTCATGGTGGTGACTTTGTTCTACGGAATGGCCCTTTTTACCGAGCTGGTGCCCAAGTCTGAATCCACCATAGAAAGAGATCAAATGATTTCCCTCATGAACACCATTGTGGCCCCTGTGTTGAACCCCATCATATACACACTGAGGAACAAAGAGGTGAAGGGAGCCTGGAGAAAAACTATAGTGAGGCGCATCTTTGCTCACAGCTAGAGAAATTAGAGAATGAAAAGTAAAGTGAGTCACAATGGGGGATTAAGGAAAATTGACAGATATTTTGTTATATTTCTCACAATAGCTCTCAGTATTTTTATTCAAATGTTGTCATTTCAAAGGCTTTGATCTCTTCTCAACTTGCCGGGATCATGAAAAGAGAAACAGCTGTTATGAAAAACAATCTCGACATTTAAATTTCTTAATTTACCTGAAAATATCATAGTTGGCCCCTTTTACCTCTTTAAAAAAAATGCATTCATCAACGGAGAAAATTTTGTTGTGATCTTCAAAATTTGCAACCAAAAAAAAAAGGGGCGGGGGAACATTCCCTTCCTGGTACATCAGCCAGGTCTAGCTCAGGACAGAATATGTGATGGGGGTTTTTAACATCCCCCCATGTGGAGACGCACTGGCAGTGAACTGGGCACCTATGCCATGTGGGGTGTTGACAGAGAGAAGAGTGTGTGTGGGGGGGGGGGGGGGGCTGCAGGAGGAGGTGAGAAAGGGTTTGGTGTTACCGCCAGGGCCACTATCGTCTGCGGCCTCTCAGTTTGCTGTCGGAGAAACACAAACAGCTGTTCTACTTCCTGCTCCATTCCCTGGGCTAGTGTCATCTGCCTCTGTCCCCTCCAGCCAGTCTCCAAGGGAAGCCCCTGCCAGGCCTGCTGATGGTAGGAGCAAAAGGGGCAATTGCCCAGGGGCCAAAGGTCCCCCAAAAGCCATTGCCACCAACAGCAGCGTGGCTGGATCATGCAGGCCGTTGTGGAATCGCCATCTCTAGAGATATCTAAGAGCAGGTTAGATAAATGTCTATCAGGGATGGTCTAGACAGGATTTGGTCCTGCCATGGGAGCAGGGAACTGGACTTGATGACCTCTCAAGGTCCCTTCCAGTCCTAGTATTCTATGATTCAACAGGGCACTTACACTCAACAGTGGGGAACAACAAGGTGTCTTTGTCATTTGGGGCCACCAAGAAATGAAATTTTGGGGAGGAAGGGGCTTCCTCTCCACCTGCACCTGGGCAGCGGAGTTCACCTCTCTGATCAGAATGGTCAGCACAGGGCATTGTGGGACAGCCCCGGAGGCCAATCACAGTCGTCATCTGTGCCCATGCTGTTCGAGTGGATAATATTGAACGTCCCTCTATGCTGCTTAGGGAAGGGAGGGGGTTAACCGATGGGTGTGGACAGGCATTTGGACAGCGAGGTCAATGTAGGCAGCCCTGTGTCCCATGTCCCTGCCTCTTTGTCCCAAGTCCAGTCAATCTTGTACATTTCCAAAGCCTGCTCAGTTTAAGCAGCTAAAAATAAACATCAAGAACAACAACAAAAAATCCAGGACTTCATTAATTTTTGCTCTGGAGATTGAATTCTCCAAAGTAGCTCACTTGATTAACTCAGTCAAGTTTGGGAGATTTGACTGAATCTTTGAATCCTGGTGCAGTTTTGGTGCACAGCTCAGATGGGAAATAAGGGGTAAATTTCTACTTTGGAAGCAGGTGGCTTGGTGGAGCCGGGCAAAGAGCAAGAATCAGCTAGAGAGCTCCTGTCCCAAATCAGCCTCAAACATCTGAAGCTTTCTAACTCTGAGTGAGGTACCCAAATGGTTGTATCACATCTGTCACTGGGCACTAGCAACAGGTGTTGTTATTGCGGAGCGGAAGTGGCTGCTGAAGATCCCATAGAAAGTTTTGGAGTCGACAAGGCAGAATGTTGAAAACTATATCAGTGACGAGGTACGTTAACATATTGAGTTGCCAGACGTATGTATGAACTACAGACATATTGAGGAACAACATCAAAAATCCCTTTCTCTGAGGCTACGTCTAGCCTGCAGGTTTCTTACAGAAGAAGCTTTTCCAGGGCAGTGTGGTGTAATGGTTAGTGCAGGTGTCACTGGGAGTCAGAGCTCCTGGGTTCCCATCATTGCTCTAGGACAAGGGTGGCGCCCAGAGTTTGAGCATCGGGGCTCTGGAGCCATGAGCCCTGGAGGTGGGTCCTGCCCCTGCCCCTGCCCCTGACTTTGTGTGGTGTGTTGTTGAGAGAAAAGTGTTGTCCAATTTACTGCAGTCAGTAAATCCCGTGGTGATTTTCATCCACAGAGCACACCTAATGACAAGATGACGTTGGTACAACTTCCTATGCAACGACTGACCAAGTGACTGTTGTTTTGTTGCACTTCCAGGCAGGGCTGTTCTACCTCCGAGGAATATGATGAGACATTTCCCCAGGGACGTGGTCCCAGAAGCCAGGGAAGAAAATAACCCCCCTCCCTCCATTCCCTTCCACACGTCCAGCACCTGCCGCGAGCAGAGGGAACCGCCCTTCGTACAGAAGGTAGGTTAGAAATCATTGAGTATGATCCCCATCCACCCAGTGAAGCCCATCGGCGTCCTGCCCAGGTCTGCAGTTACAGCAAATCATGTTGTCCCTTTATTCATCGGGATTTCTCGTGTGTGTGTGTAGAGAACCTTTGTGTGTGTCTGACACATGGGCTGAGTGTGTGTTCACATCTATCTATCTATCTATCTATCTATCTATCTATCTATCTATCTATCTATCTATCTATCTATCTATCTATCTATCTATCTATCTATCTATCTATCTATCTATCTATCTATCTATCTATCTATCTATCTATCTATCTATCTATCTATCTATCTATCTATCTATCTATCTATCTATCTATCTATCTATCTATCTATCTATCTATCTATCTATCTATCTATCTATCTATCTATCTATCTATCTATCTATCTATCTATCTATCTATCTATCTATCTATCTATCTATCTATCTATCTATCTATCTATCTATCTATCTATCTATCTATCTATCTATCTATCTATCTATCTATCTATCTATCTATCTATCTATCTATCTATCTATCTATCTATCTATCTATCTATCTATCTATCTATCTATCTATCTATCTATCTATCTATCTATCTATCTATCTATCTATCTATCTATCTATCTATCTATCTATCTATCTATCTATCTATCTATCTATCTATCTATCTATCTATCTATCTATCTATCTATCTACATACACTCCCTCCCTCTATCAATCTATCCATCCAAAGATTGATCTATTTGTCTCTTTCTGAACTAACTTAATGTGGGTCAGGTCAAGAGGTTCAAGACAGGGCTGTGATGCCCATTTACACCAGGTGAATGTCTAGTCGCAGATATCCATAGAGTCCCCCGAGCACTAAGTGGGCACCAGACACGCTCCTCACCCCAACATGGAAGGTCGTCATGGCCTGGGATGTTATTTCTGGATTCTCCCTTCTCTCGTCTTCACTCCCCTCTGTCCCCCGCCCTCCTCCTGACCCACTGAATCTGAGTGGCAATGCTGGTTCTGAGGAGGGATCTGAACTCAGTTGGCTGGTGGGCTCAGTCCAATCTCTTCTCATTGGAGTGGCCAGACCTGGTTCCAAGCACAGTGAGGCTACACGACATGGGAAAGTCGCAGTAAGATACACATCTCTGGCTCTGTAACTTAGGGTATGTCTAGACTCCATGGTTCCGTCGACGGAGCCGTGTAAACTAGTTTACCCGATATAGTCAATGAAGCAGGGATTTAAATAATCCCCGCTTCATTAAAATAAAAATGGCTGCTGCACTGTGCTGACAATCAGCTGCTCCAGCACAGCGCAGCAGTCTAGACACGGCGCGGTCGACAAGGGAAGCCTTTGTCGACTGCTCCTGTAAACCCTTTTTCACAAGGCATAAAGGAGTGGTCAACAAAGGCTTCCCGCATCAACTTATCCACATCTAGACTGCCACTCTGTGCCGGATCAGCTAATCGTCGGCACAGCGTGGTGCCCATTTTTATTTTAATGAAGCGGGGATTATTTAAATCCTCGCTTCATTGATTACGTTGGGTAAACTAGTTTACACGGCTCCGTCGACGGAACCATGGAGTCTAGACATACCCTAAGTTACAGAGCCAGAGATGTGTATCTTACTGCGACTTTCCCGCATCGACATAGCTCAAATCCCGTCCACTTAGTGCTCACCAGGAGCCTCCCTTAGTCCTCGCGAGGAGCACCAGCACTGCCCGGGATGCCCCTTGAGTTCGATCTAGCGAGTCTATGCTTCACACACAAAATCAAACCCAGACGATCAACTGTGGCAGTGTAGTGTCCTAAATGTGTTGTCCCTGGTGCCCAAGAGTTACATGCTGTCCCTTTCTACCTGCTGTAGTGGTCAATTGCGGAAGAACTTTGTACGTGCAAAGTATAGGGGTGGTGAAGCCTGCACTCCCCCCCACTTTTCCGATTCCCCCTCCTCCTTCCCTACTACTGATGAGCTAGAAGCAAGCCTCTAGGAACATACGCCATTGTACTAAGAACGAATTGTACATAAGGGCAGGAACATAACAATCTTGTTTACCTAAATGTACTGATCATGTAAACAAAGTCAAAGGACAAGCAGTACAGCTGAGCCATACTGTAACAAGCAATGAGTAACCCCTGGATATTTCCAAACTACCACAAACAACATAGAGAGACAGTGTTTAAAGCTGCACCAAAGCACAACAATTTGGACCTCACTGATGGGCTTTGGGTACCGGCGCCTTGCAAGCTGAGACAGTCTCCCACTTCATCCGCAGCCGGACCAGGTTCCCCGACTAGCCAAAGGGAAGTAAGATATGCCACTTCTTTGTTATGTTGCCCTTCTAGTTCAGGGGCACAGCTGATAGCTGTCAGGAAATAAACTGCTTGTGTTTGACAGATACCTGTGTGGTGTCCTTTGTACTTTGAGAACCCAGTGTCGGACCTGAGACTTACTCTTGCCGACAACACCTGCATTTCCCCCACTGTTAACCTGCACAGTCAGCCTGTGGAACTCCTTGCTAGAGTTGGTTCAACAAAGTGCTAGATAAATTATGCAGAGTAGGTCCATCCATGGCTATTAGCCAGTATAGGCAGGAATGGTATCTCTAGAATCTGTTCAGCAGAAGCTGGGAATGGGTGACATGGAAGGGTTCACTTAATGATTCCTTGTTCTTTTCATTCCCTCTAGGGGCACCTGGCAGAAGACATTTTGAAGCACGTGGAAGAGAGGAAAGTGATCAGGAATATCCAACATGGATTCACCAAGAGCAAGTCATGCCTGACCAACCTGACAGCCTTCAATGACAAGGTAACTGACTCCATGGATGTGGGTGAGGTGGTGGATGCGATATGCCTTGACTTTAGCAAAGGTTTTGACACGGTCTCCCATAGGGTTTTGTATCCCTAGACATGTTCTTCATCTCATACGTATAGCAGCCTGATGAGCCACTGACGAAACGTCTCTCAGGTGAGAGACTATCTTGAGTTGATTAGAGCGCTGATAATGATACTGTCTTGCATTGTTCTCTCTGCCATGTATTGAGAGCTATGTGGGACACACAGTGCTTTACAATGGGAATAAAGACATGACTGTTGATCCTAAGGTCCTATTGGCTCAGTTGATAATGGTAAGTAAAGATGCTAGTGGGGAAAATAACAAACACTGGATGGATAGAACGGGTTGCAGTTCACACAACTGAGCAATGAGCTTTGTTTGGCTAGTAACATAGGCATTCTAGTTCCACTCTTCCTTTCCTTCTTACGTTCGTTCATTCTTGGAAGTGTTGGATGGATTTGGGAGTCTGGTATTGCTCTGAAGACTGGAACCAAGGAGAACAGAGTTCTTCTGTGCAGAATGTCAGGGAAGGAAGCCGGTGGATTTGTGTACCATTTTCTGTGAAACTATCAGGCAGCTTTGAAAATTTCACCCTCGCAGCCTGGGAGAAAGCAGGAAAGGTCTAATGAGAAATGGGAATAAAGGTGGTCTGGAATTAATAGAGTAGCGATCTGATGAGGGATGCATGGTATGGCGGTGTGAACCTGAGTCCATCCTGGCATTGGAAAAAAGGAATAGGAGAGAGTGAATATTGTACATGTTTCCTCATGGAGCTACTGTGCGTTAGCTGGTGATTGACCTGGTGTATTTGGTAGGGATTACAAATAACAAGGATGAGGGACATGGGGTCCTCTTTCTTTGTTTGCCCATTGATCATGGAATTTTCTTTTCTTGCCCACCTGTGAGTTCCATGGGACAGGTGCTGTCTCTTTACTTCATGTATGTGAAACCTCCAGCACTATGGGGAACCGATTGCTGATGGACGTCTCTCTATGCAAGAGTGCTAGTGTTGTTATTCCTTGTCCTGTGAATAACCAAAAAGGGGGCCAGGACCTCTGGGTAAACATACATATTAGATCCCACTCTTCCTCGGGAATGTTTTTAATCTGATTCCAGATAAGCGTGCAGAAAATGGTACATTGTGCTCACATGGTTTTCAATGGTGCTGTTTCGGGAGGGCAAGAGAGGGGGAGGCAGCAGCCGTGCATACTGGTACGCTGCTTGCTTTCCCCCCCATTTCTCTGAGTATCAGGGAGCAAGGGGAAAGTGCACAGATTTCATAAATTACTCCTTTGTCTTCGCCTCTCCAGCCACGAGTGAGAGGCATGCACACGAGCCTCACTCCCTAATAATCAGGGGAACAGGACAAAAAGCAAGCAGCGTCTTGGTAGCGTCTCCAAAATAGTGCTTTTGGGTTTGTTCTTGAAGTTGAAATGAAGGCAGGACCTGATTATGGATTGTTACAAAGTAGATAGCAGAGCATGACACATACTGCTCTTTCTATTCTGTGGGAAATTCTGACTTTTCAGAAGTTCCATTCATCTGGAACATGAAGAAACATGCCATTATTTTAAAAATGCCATGGAAGTAACATTCAAAAATCCCCTCTTGTTAGAACTATTGACACAACTTTTTATTTCAATCGGGTCAATATGTTTCATTTTTAAAATGTGAAACCCTTTAATTTGACTTTTATCATTGTAACTTTAAAACAGGCACACTGGGTCAGACCACAGGTCCATCAATCCAGCATCCTGTCTTCCGATAGTGGCCAGTGCCAGGTGCCCCGAAGGGAATGAACAGAAAAGGGAATCATACAGTGATCCCTCTGTCGCCCATTCCTGGCTTCTGACAAACAGAGGCTAGGGACACCATTCCTGCCCATTCTGGCTAATAAGTATTGATGGACCCAACCTCCATTAATTTGTCTAGTTCATTTTTGAACCCTGTTTAAGTCCTGGTCTTCACAACCTCCTCTGGCAAGGAGTTCCACAGGTTGGCTGTGAGCTGTTTGACGAAATACTTCGTTTTGGTTTGTTTTAAACCTGCTGCCAATTTATTTCATTTGCTGACCCGCTTCAGTCAAGAATACAACAATCTTGGTAAGTCTCATATTTTAATTTAATTGAATACAGTCAGTCCCCGACTTACGAACGAGTTGCGTATCAAACACTTGTTCGTAACTCAATTTGTTCGTAAGTCAGACCCCATTCATTTAAATGTGGCTGCGCTGTCCATAAGCGCGGATCACGTTCGTAACTCGGGGACTGGCTTGTAATCCACTTTATAGGAGTTGGTCATAACTACGAACAGTCGTAAATTGATGCATTCGTAATTAGGGGACTGGCTGTAATCATTTGTGATGGGAAGTTGTTATGGTGGAAAATGTTGAACAAGTTCTGGTCAACAGTGGTCTGCTCTCCAGTGTACTTCCAGAAATTGTGGTGGGCATGATATATATAACCATCAATAACATGGGAAAGGTAAAAAGGAGGCATATGGAGCTAAATATACTGTATTAGGAAATAGTGTTAAAATATAGCAGGAGCCAAAAATATTTCAATATCCCTAATATAAGCTGCCATGTTTTGGATATTTATAGTCAAAGGATGAAAATGATAATATTTGGTTATTATCAATACAAAAAATTAAGAGAAAAAACACAAAAAAGAAAACTCTCTAAGATGTAATGACTATCTAGTTATCTAGCTACTCATTAATCATTAAATTAAATAAACGTGTTTGGTTGCTATAATTGTTCATCTATAATCTAATTCAATTTTTTTCATTGCTTTTCATATATAAAGGTAAAATTTTCCATTGTTGATATTTGCCAAAATTTATAGTGGTAAATAATATTATTATCATTGTGAGGACAATGTGTTATTTTATGAATAATTTTCATTCATCTATTTGTTTGCTTGCATTGGTGTTGGGTGCTATACTCTTCAAAGAGGTTAACTCTCATACAAGTGGACAGCAAGTAGGGCAGGTAGAAAGGTGTAATTTTCAGATTACACCTTTCACCACTGCTTATCAGGACAATTCAGGTGTCAATACCTTTGACATTTGCCTGTCATTAGCTGATAGCCTTCAGCTTGGTATAGGGATGGGGGGAGAGATTCAAATGGGAAAACTTTGAAGTTGATGCAAATCTGGAAGCAGTAGTATCACTCCAGAGAGATGAAGGCAAATGGCCCATCACTGTAGCAGATTGGTTTCCGAGAGATGCTAAGAAAGATCACAACTGCAGCTAGCCCTGAACTGTGATAGTCATTATGAACTGATCACCAAAGGCTCTTAAGTAAAGTAAGCTACCATGGGATAAAAGGGAAGGTCCTTTCTTAGATTGATAACTGATTAAAAGACAGGAAACAAAGGGTAGGAATAAATGGTCAGTTTTCAGAATGGAGAGAGGTAACTAGTGGTATCCCGCATGGGTCTGTCCTGGGACCAATCCGATTCAGCGTATTCATAAATGATCTGGAGAGAGGTGTAAACAGTGAGGTGGCAAAATTTGCAGATGATACAAAGCGCTTCAAGATAGTTAAGTCCAAAAAGGACTTGAAAGAGCTTCAAAAGTATCTCCCAAATCTAGGTGAAAGGTCAACAAAATGTTACATGAATTTTAATGTTGATAAACACAAAGTAATGCATATTAGAAAACATAATCCCAACTATACATACAAACTGATGAGGACTATATTCACTATTAACATGCAAGAGAGGAGTCGTTATGGATAAGTCTCTGAAAACATCCACTCAGTGTGCAGCAGCAGTCAAAATAAAAGCAAATAATGTTAAGAAATATTTAAAAAGGGAGAGAGACTTAAGATAGAGAATGCATGAACTCTCTTGTGTCCATGCAGAGTAACATTATTGTTAACAGCAGTGATCATGTTTGTTACACTACTACCTGTAGGCCAACTGAGAATGAACTCTGTAGAGCTAGGAACTTGATAACCAGAATAAAAGGAAGTCCACATGCTCCAAAGAACTTTTAATTGAACTTCACAAGACCCCTGAAATGAAGGGGAAAGGGAGAAAACATTGAACATAAGAACATAAGACCAAAGGCCCATCCAGCCTGAATGGACTGCCCACAGTGGCCAATGCCAGATGCCCCAGAGGGAATGAACAGAAAAAAACAATCATCCAGTAATCCATTCCGTGACACCTATTCCCAACTTCTTGCAAAGAGAGACTAGGTACACCTTCCCTGCCCACCTATACTGACTAATAGCCATTGATGATCCCCTCAATTTATCTAGTTCCTGTTTTTGTAACCTGTTATAGCTGTGTCCTTCACAACATCTTCTGGTAAAGAGTTCCCTGTTTTGACTGTACGTTGCATGAAGAAATACTTCCGCGTGTTTGTTTTAAATCTGCTGCCTACTGACTTAACCTGAACGTTCATGTGGGGATAACTTATTCCAGATGAATCTGATTATAAGATCAATACCTGAGGAATGGAGTGGAAGTACATTTAGTGTGAAATATTTACTGTTTTCCTGTGTTAGACTCAACAAAAGCATGATGTGAGTCAATGAGATTTGTTCATCATGTAATCTTGATTGCATAGGTAGACAACCTTATACATGTTAAGTCTTGAATGTCTTCTTGAAATCAGCAGCAGAACAGGAATTTCCCGCAGCATAAAAGAATGAGGTATACACATCTCATTGACATTTAGGAACAAAAATCCCTTAGGTTTGTTTGAAAGTCCCAGTCTGAGAGAAAGAGTTACTGTATCTCTCTTTTGAAATCAGAGCTTTCGTTGGCGTCTGAGACAGTATTGACCAGAGTAGTGGAATTTGATAGTCCTTGATTTCCTGTTCATTCAGAATCATTCGTAACAATGGTGATTCAAAATAAATACTTTGGCCAGCTCCAATTATGAGTTGACTTAAGAGAGAGAAGACATTTTCTTTCATGAAAGACTTCAATATTTCAACATTAGATTTCACTCCTCATGAAAACCACCATTGTTTACATTCTCTATGAACGGGAACGTAACCCTGCTTCCAAGGTAATTTCGCCAGCAGGCTACCCTAGAGCTACCACCCTTTGAAGAAAGATATCCAACTTGGTTGACAAAATAGCTGGTGATGGAGACCACACCGTGTAATACCTGCCTCTGTTTGTCTTCTAGATGAATCCTTATGAAGAAACAATGAACTTGAATCAAACAGTGGTGACTGAGTTTCTTCTCCTGGGATTTTCTGCCTCTCCAGAGCAGCAGATTTTACTCTTTGTGGCACTGTTAGCCATTTATCTGGTCACTGTGTTGGGAAACCTCCTCATTATACTTGTAACACTGATGGATCCCTCCCTTCACACCTCCATGTACTTTTTCCTGTCTAATTTATCTGCCTTAGAGATGGGTTACATCTCGGTCACTGTCCCCAAAATGATGGTGAGCCTCATCTCAGGGGACAAACACATCACCTTGGTTGGCTGTGCCGTGCAAATGTGCTTCTTCCTTTGTTTCGGCAGCACAGAGTCTTCTTTTCTGGCCACCATGGCGTACGACCGCTACGTGGCAATATGCAACCCCTTGTATTATCCCATGATTATGAACAAGAAGGTTTGTGTCCTGCTGGCAGTCACTTCCTGGACTATTGGCATTCCGGCTCAGGTGGTGCAGACTGGCTTGGTATTCTCCTTACCCTTCTGTAGCTCCAAAGAAATCAACCATTTCTTCTGTGATCCAGCCCCTCTGCTGTTGCTGGCCTGTGCCGACACCTCCATAAATGAAACTTTGACTTACACCATAGTCATATTCTTTGGATTGGTGCCCTTTGCCCTGATTCTGTTCTCCTACATCCGGATCATTGCCACCATCCTCATCTTGCCATCTGATGAGGGCAAAAGGAAATCCTTCTCCACATGCTCCTCCCACCTCATCGTTGTGGCTTTATTCTACGGTTCCGGAATCCTCCTTTATTTATGGCCCCAGCCTAATGAATTCCCAGAAAATGGAAAACTTCTCTCCTTGTTCTACACTCTTTTGCCTGCCACGTTGAACCCTTTTATCTACAGCCTGAGGAACAGGGATCTCCAAACAGCTCTGAAGAGAAATGTGTGGTACAAAATGACTCCTCGCTAACATTAAATGGGGAACATATTTTCCAGCCTGTTTTTACCTTACGATAAAACTGAGGCTTACTGAATTTTTTCCACTAAGAACAAAAGCAAGACCAATTCACTACAGAACTGCCTTATGTCTAGGGCCCAGGGTGGCAGGTAGTCTCCCATGAAAGTTCTGATTGAAGTGAGTGTCCAAACATTGCTTCCCAAAATCTGTACCAAAACCAGGACTAGAAGCCAGTTTTCCTTGGCTTTCGGTCACCAGACCATGTCTTCCCTTCTGGTTGGCCTCTGTACCACTGATGGTATATTTTCCAGATTATGTAGTGAACAAAAGTGTGGCTTAAAGCTGCCTGAAAAACAGAATTTCTTTCTAGTGGGTGTTGGAACAAATTTTCACCCAAAGTCAAAAGCCAAGGGACAAAAATGGAAAAAATTGAAAATTGTTCACAGAATCGCTGTGCTGCTTGATTTTTTGATTGCACACAACATTGTGAGAGCCGGGCACCACTCTGCCCAATACCTAGGACACAGTGGAGCAGGGATTTGAAGCTAGGTTTCCCAAGTTGTAGGCTAGTGCCGCAACCACTAAGGAGGGTGAATTGAATTTCAGTGGAATCAGGAACCTAAGTATTTTGGGCACTGTTGAATATCCCAGCCTTTGATATACTCCTGGGAAGAAATTGCCTAGGAAATGGTACAAAAATCCTTTAGCTGGATTGGAAGGTGCCATTCAAAAAATGGGAAGACACAGGACACGGAAAACAAAAGAATAATGGCTGTAAAGGTGGATTAAGACAGATATGAGCTAATTCAAACACAGGCCACCCTAAACGCCAGTCTTCACACCACTTCTGCCTCCATTCCCATTAGTTGATCTTTCAAGGACCAGCGGCCTTACCCATAGGTCCCCCAGAGATGTGGTGGACTCTCGTTTCCTCCAAGTCTTGTTTAGCGGCTTGCTGGATGACAGCATTTGCAATTAGAGGAAGATAATAAGGTTATAAATAAAAGTCAGCATGGATTTGTAAAGAACAAATCATGTCAAACCAAGCTGATAGCTTTCTTTGATAGGTTGGCAAGCCTTGTGGATAAGGAGAAAGTGGTAGATGTGGTACACTTAGGCTATGTTTACACTGTCCAGTCTTGTGCAAGAACATATGCAAATGAGGCATGGCGAAGAATATCGCCACACCTCATTTGCATACTTAATGAGCCACCATTTTGTGCAAGTGGCTTTTGCGCAAGAAGGAGCAGTCTACACTGCTCCTTCTTGTGCAAAACCCCCCTCTTGCACAAGAGCTCTTCTGCCTGAAAATAAGTGGCAGAACGGCTCTTGCACAAGAGGGGGGTTTTGCTCCTCCTTGCGCAAAATGGTGGCTCATTAAGTATGCAAATGAGGAGTGGCGGTATTCTTCAGCATGTCTCATTTGCATATGTTCTTGCGCAAGACTGGGCAGTGTAGATGTAGCCCTAGACTTTAGTAAGGCATTTAACCTTTCCATTAATAAACTCTCAACCTTATTAGACTGGGCAAAAAGTAGATTAAGCCATTTTATCACCCCACTAGTATACGGCAGTCTTTGGTGCGGGGCCTGCCCACAACATTTTGGCACCTGAGACAGGGAGATCAAATAACGCCCCCAAACTCCCTCACTTGGGCCAAAACTTTGAAAGGTCTCTTGTGCCCTCCTTCCTCCAGCACAGCACTCCACCATCTCTGTGCATCTAGAGCAGAGAGAATATGTATGCACCAGCAGCAAACACAATTTTCTACACTCTGGGTCATAGTGGCGCCCCCCACAATCTGGCACCTGAGGTGGCCGCCTCTGTTCGCCTCATGGTAGGGCCAGCTCTGCTTTGGTGTACAGGTTTCTCCATTAAATCTTGGCCAGTCTCCTCTGTTGGAGTCTTCAGTCTTCTTCTCAGTGTGGGAGCAGGAGAAAGGCCAAGCGTGAGGCCTCTGTGTTTTGTTTCATACCCTTAATCTATGTGCTAGGGGATCACCAGTCCAGGCATGTTGGGTGGGCATAACTGAGTACTCAGGAAAAGTTGAGCAATTCCCCTGTTGTAGCCTTGTGTTGGTGAGTCATTTAATTGTGGCTCCCTTGCCAGACAATGGCTATTAAGGGTTGTTCAACACACAGACACAGACATACATACACACGGTCATTGCTGTTGTCTGTGGGGAGTGATTCCTCAAATTCCACCATATTTTAGTAACAACCGTACAACACAATCTCATAACTTCACAGGCACTACAGTTGTACATATTTATACAGAAACATTTCTCAGCAGTTCATAGCCTTTCCCCCGATGCCTCATATGACATTCCATCCATAGCACTGAATTTCAAAACAGAAGCACACCGAAATAAAATATCTCTGTTTTATGAATTTGTTTCATTGGTGGCCACAGAAAGGTATTTGTTACAGCAAAGATGTTACAATGGTAGGAGGCAGAAAGGCACGTAAGCAACAGCCTTTCACCCGCGCTGCATAACGAGGTGGTTCACCTATTGACCAATAGCAATCCAAAGATATTGCTTTGAGCTGTTAACATTTAGTCACTTTCAGGAACCACAAACAATCACTTTTTGGTACCCTACCCTCATCCTAAGATGTTGAACCCAGTTAAGCCATGGACGTTGTTGCTTAGTGGCTCCTTCTACTGTCATGTATTGAATTAGGCCCTGTATATTTTTATTACTTTGAGTGAATCTAAAGCACAAGGCACTACACAATGAGTAGAATTTGCAAAGGTTCTAAGCGACCTGGGAGTCTACACTGCCTTTTCAAAAAGCAAACAAGGCCCTTGGAAATCTAGGTTTCCCTGAAAGTCAATGGGAGTTGTGCTTTTAAGCCATTTTGATAATTTTACCCAATGTGCTTCAGAAGAATAGATCCTAACTTTTTTTTTTCAAATAGAGAATTGAATAGCATTTGCTCCACATGTACAGGCAGTCCCCGGGTTACATGGATCTGACTTACATCGGATCCCTACTTACAAACGGGGTGAGGCAACCCCGCACTAGCTGCTTCCCCCCAGCAGACCAGGGAGACGTGGAGCAGCTTTTCTCAGCAGACATCTCAGCTTGAGAATAAAGGACTGAGGAAAGTGAGGTGTGGGAGAAGAGAACTGAGCTCTGGAGAAATGTTTGTCTAGTGTTTCCCCTACAATATTTACCAGTTCCGACTTACATACAAATTCAACTTAAGAACAAACCTACAGCCCCTATCTTGTACGTAACCTGGGGACTGCCTGTACTTATAAATGTTTACTTCACAATGATGTGTTAGTATAAAGAGATGTTTCAACAACAAAAAATTATCTCATTTACTTATTGATTATTGGTGGATCGATAGCTAAGTCTAGAACTTCCACTCCTTTCAAAAACAACATATATTGCAAAAAATACAGCTATAAAATGAAGGAGCGTTTCAGAATCCAGGACATGAAGGAGAGAGCGAACAAATGTAACAAGCCAAACCCACACAAAGGAATTCAATGCCAGGACTATGCAAAATGTGGTTTCCCAACTCAGAAGAGAAGTGCAGATGAAATGCACAACTGGAATGTTGAATTTCACTGTGGGAAGTGCAGAACACATCAGAGTTATGTTTGCAGTGAGTGTCTGTGTGCGGGGGAGGGAGTGGGTGGGAGAAAATAGAAGCTTTGGTATTTGAGGGGAATCCAGCCATTGCAAAACTTTGTATGTCCTTCATGTTCCCCATAAAAACTCCAACGGGCATGAGCTAGATCAGCCCAATGGATTCGTGCCTATGTCAATCACACCTTCTAAATTCCTTTGAGCACCATCAGTTTACAGGTGATCTTTCGCAGGGCCTGTCTGACCTCTTTGTTTCTCAGGCTGTAGATGAGCGGATTGGCCAGAGGAGTCAGGACAGTGTAGAAGACAGAGAAGACTTTGTTGAGGTCTCTCAGAGTGTCAGTGTCCGGTAAAATATAGACAATGGTTATGGTCCCATAGAAAAGCGTCACCACCGTGAGGTGAGAGGAGCAGGTGGAAAAGGCCTTTTGCTTCCCGGTGGCAGAAGGGATTCTCAGGATGGTGGAGATGATGCAAACATAGGATGCCAGAGTTAATAGAAATGGGAAAGGGACACCTATGGAGGTGAGTATGAAACTCAGCCTTGTGATCAGCTCGGTGCCATGACAAGCACGTTTAATCAATGGGTTCAGGTCACAGAAGAAATGGTCGATTTCCCCTGGGCCACAGAAAGTTAATTGTGACATCAAACATATCCCTGTTGTACTAGCCACAAATGCCCAGAGCCATGAGCCAGCTGCGAGCCAGAGGCAGGACCTGCCATTCATAAGCACTGAATAACGCAGAGGTTTACATATCGCTAAATACCGGTCATAAGACATGGCTGCTAAGAGGTAACACTCTGTACAAGCCAAGAGAGCAAACCAATAAAACTGTGCAATGCATCTGCTAATAGAAATGGTCCTGTCCCCAGTCAGGAGACTGGTCAGCATCTGGGGCAGGAGGATGGAGCTGTAACAGGTCTCCACGCAGGACAAGTTGCCCAGGAAGAAGTACATGGGGGTATGGAGGTGCTGGTCAGCCACCACTAGAATGATGATGAGGATGTTCCCCACCATGGTTGCAACATAGATCACTAGAAACACCAGGAAAAGAAGGGTTTGCAGTTCAGGGACCTTGCCAAATCCCAAGAGGACGAATTCAGTGATGACCGTTTTATTGTCCACTTCTGCTTTCTGGAGGAGGATCATCTAGGTACATAGAAAAAACAAAATAGCAGAGGCAGGACTTGCACAGGGAGAAGTGGAAAGCCCTGACCTGTTGCTGGTTTAAATGATTAAGGGAAGATCTTCCAAAGTAGTCAGTGCTCAAAACTGACCTATGTTGAAATCATAGAATCATTAGGGCTGGAAGAGACCTCAGGAGTCAAGTCTAGCCCCCGGCCCAAAGCCGGACCAATCCCAACTCAACCATCCCAGCCAGGGCTTGGTCAGGCTGGGACTTCAAAACCTGTAGCGATGGAATAGTTTTTCCTAATATCCAACCTAGGTCACTCTGGACCCTAACCTTACACTCCAGCATATCTCCCTCTTCCCCTAGCTTAGTGTCGTTCACCAGTTACTGTATTTGAGTTCTTGCTTCCTAGGGGCTTTTGAAAATCCTGTTCGTTGTTCACTAACTTTAAAAAATGTGCCCCCAAACATGTTGCTGAATAAGAACTTTAATTAAGATGAACTGAACAACACAGGGACTAGTTTCACCAGCTGTTCTAGCCAGTGACTTTTATATCCACAGTAAAGGGGGAGGGAACTAAGAGTGTTGAGGTTGCTCCAAAAATAACGAGTCCAATCTTACATGCCAACCATTTCTTTGGGTGAGAAATTCCATTTGTCTCACTCTGACCCCAATTACATTGCTCTTTACAACAATGTTTCTCAGCCAGTGGTACGAGTACCCTTTGGGGTACTTGAGAGAAGTCTGGGGGGTAAGTCAACACAACTGAAATTTGGAGAAAACTGAATTTTGTTTTAAGTTATACAGCACTTTATTATTTTTGTACTTTTTACACCCAAAAATTTCATCACCTGCCCGGCTACAATTGAGTTGTTCCAAGAAATGTGTTGCAAAGAAAAAAATTGTGTGTCTGAAAACTGTAGGTACTGCGGGTATTTGCAATTTCTTTTTGAAAAAGGGGTATTTTATTTTAAAAAAGGGTGAGAAACACTGCTTTACAACATTAACTTCTAGCAGAGAGACTCCCACCAGACTGCTGAGCGAGCAAGATCAGGATCATGAGTTCCTATGCCATGTGTCAATGGACCGACTTTGGAGTTGGTCATTGTCCCTTGAAATTCTGCACTGAGCTTCCAGGAGACCTACCCAAGGACTAACAGAATAATGACTCGAAAGCCTCTGCACCCCCTTTCCCAGTCTGCTTGGCGCTTGAGTTTGGAGTTGGAAGCAAAACAATTCAGAGAGTCTCTGCTTAGCTCCCTTTCCCCACCCAGGTGGGACTTGGTGCATGGATCTTTCAGCTCCAAGCCTGCCATGACCAGCATAGAGGCAGAGATCTGGGATCTCCAAGGGATTCTGGAGTGGGGAGCAAGGACAGGAGCCTGTCCTAACCAGTGGTGAAAACGCTGTAAGAGGACAACCAGCCATTTTTCTGCTGCTGCACCCATCTCCAGACCCATCCCGGCCATTCCATCTGCCTGGGAAGATGCCTGGGGAGCAGATGGGGCTAGGGAAGAGCTGTGAATGGAGCAGTTTGGGAAAATGACACTATGGTGTTGATAGCTTATTAGTTAATCTTACTTTTCCCTACCCTGGAGCCTCTGCGACCTTAAGAGCCCCTTGTTGGGGGTCTACTGTTGTGAGCAACTCTTGAGCAGCCTGATGAACTTGCTACACCTAGCAGACCGCTTTTCATAGAATCATTGAACATTAGAACTGGAAGGGACCTCACGAGCTCATCGAGTCCAATCCTCTGCCCTCACGGCAGGACCCAGCACTATCTCAATCATCCCTGACAGGTGTTTGTCCAACCTGCTCTTAAATATCTCCAGTGATTTCACAACCTCCCAGGGCAATTTATTCCAGTGTTTCACCACCCTGACAGTTGGGAAGTTTTCCCTCATGTCCAACCTCAACCTCCCTTGCTGCAGTTTAAGCCCATTGCTTCTCGTCCCTTCTTGTGGTATTTATCCACAAATCATGGCATGGCAGGTATCCGATAAAAGCTTTGGTCATACCTCTGCCAAACCATGGCAATGGCTTTCGTGGTTGACAGTATGGTGGTGTCTGAGAACTAAGACCTGGTTAAGCACACGACTCTCTCTTCCTAGAGATAGCGAGGGAGGTGACATACAGAACTGGCTAAACCAAGAAGTTACTGGAGGAAAGCAGACATTCCTGTAACAAGGAAAAATGTTGGTTGGCAATTCTCAATTATTCCTACCTTTCGCTGTGACAGATGTATCCATGTATGAGCTATTGGTGTATTGATTTGAGGGATAATGGTCCAGTGTCCATCTTCACACTTCTGTCTTTTGTTTTCATCATTCACTGTCCTTATAAAGACCTCTCCATTTTCCTCAAGAGGCTGGTCTGCTTTGCTCTGCATTGCACAAAAATCTTCATTTGCCTTTCTCTGATTAATATAGGTGTCATGCTAATGCCGGATTCTCCACTGAGATTGCCGGTGACCATTAAAATTAATGTCATGAGGGAATTGATTATATTTTGCAATGAACAGCAATCAGCAAGAGTGAAGAGTACAGCTCTCTACCATTACTAAGTATTTCACCCAGTGAAAATTGCACGAAGACCATAGCAGTGGGTGGAATGAATAGATACACTCAACTAGCTGAGATGTAGAGTAGAATTTTCAGCATAGACTGAAATAAGGGCAGCCAAATCTTACCTTCTCTGGGAGTCAGCTCTCATTGAAAATCTGAGTGTATGTGTTGGAAACCAAAAATGTCGACACCATGTAGATTCAAGCAGGAGGGTTTATTACGCACAGCGCTGGCGGAGTGCCACCTTGCCACTAGGGCTCAGTGAACACTGCCAAGTAAGTGATTACAATAGACTATAAAGGAAGCTGATGGGTAGAGGGAAGTTATGGAGCAGGGAGTTCCCAAACCCCTGGATAGATTCTAGCAGCAAGATATTATGAGCCAATAAGCCAAAAGTCTCAAAGGTTACATAGTAACTCCGCCCACAGCTCAGGTTAACACAATTGCTAAACACAAGTATGTGTTCCCACCCCTCCCCCCAAGAAGTGCGAGGCATAGCTACATTCCGACCGGGATGTGTAGGAGTGGTAACGGTGCCTTCCCGATAGGTGATAGGTGTAGTCCATCGATACTTGTCTAGGGATATACAGTGAAAAAAAACAAAACAGAGTGAGATATGCAGTACGCAATTATTTAAGATATCCCATGATAGATTAG